AGCGGACTGGCCCATCCAGTCCCCTGTGAGGCTACTTTTGCCCGTCCTGCCGTCGGGATCACGACCTTGCCAGGATCAAAAGTCCTCTAATCAGATATTTTAAGAATTATCGCGTGCAAAATTCATCCTACACCAAGTGAAACCCCGGTATGCAGCCGGGAATGGCACTGCTCCGTTTGTGCTGGAGCACAGGATGCTGAGCGCGGAAGTTCATTCCGTTAAACACATGTTTTTCTACTAATACATCAACTCCTTATAGGTAATTTGTGTTTTCGATGTGTTTTCATTGTATGATGTGCCTTAAACAGTGGTTTTCAGCTCCTGTGTCTCTGGCCAGGAGAACGCTGCGGTGTCCCTCGGGGGAACCTCCCTGAGTCGCGCTGTGATGAGGCTTTCCTCTGCTTGCAGATGGAAAGGTAGGAAGTGTCTGCGTGCTTGCTCATAAAAAGTAAAAGCTTAACCATCTGGGTGTTCTCATCATATTCTTCAACCTCTCCACTGTACTTCGCCCGCCGACAAAGTGCGAGCCGCCGAAGTTCGCTAAACTTCACGCCATCGTGCACAGCATGCATGCATGCAGAACAGTATACATGCGCAAACAGCTTGAGGAACACGGGAAAGCATACAGCGAAGCATGACATGTTGCATCGAACACATGAGGATCATAATGCTTATTGGTTCCACAAACCGTGCAGAAGCAACAGGTAGGACTCAGGCCAGTGTAGCAAAAGCAGCTTATGAAGGCAAGCATGTGCTAACCCCAGAAATAGATTAAGGTCTGTACAGCCATTAAACGAGTGGTGCGTGCTGCACAAGGCCGGCAGGCGCAATCAGAAGTACAGGGGTGTGCATTGAAAGCTTTCAAGCCACAGCCCTATTGATGCAGCGGAAAGGGCGCATCAGACTAAAGTGTAGGCGTGAGCCAAACTGTCTATTCTAAAAGAATGAAAATGCGAATAAGGCACTACGGCCCGCTGTCTTTCTTGCTTGGGATCAGCAACTGGCGAGTGTTAGTGTTGCTTCAAAGGGCAGCCAAGCCAAGGGCCGCAATAGCAAAGACAAGCAGACTCGGGGCAACAGCAGAGGCAGAACCGGTGAGAGATGCCTTGATCTTGTTCCACTGCTCTTCCCTGAGAGCAATTCGCCATCAGAAGAACAACTCACAAGAGTGTATTCGCACCCAAGCACCCAAACATCCAGCTCTGTACGC